TCATTCTGATGGAACGCGTCACAAATGCACTTTATGACCTAAAATGCACTTTATAAATGTTTTGCACTTTATAAATAATTTGCACTTTACAAGATTTTATTGAAGCGACCCCCGTGTGTCTATGTAAACTATTATATGTGTAAACTATAATAAAGTTGATTTAAAAGGGAATGAGTTACAGTTTATCTCCGACCTCTTATGTGACCCCGAGGTCCTCAAATGCTGCGTTCAGGTTCCTAAAACCAGAGTTATAATCAGTGTTTGTCAGCAGAGGAGATCAGGAAGGTAAATTCACTTCATTTAATCTCTTCTTAAAAAACACTTTTATAACAACATTGCTTCCTGTGATCTTTATATTGTTACTGACGGTTCTAGTGTTTGATTCCTGATGTTTTACCATTAAAAGTACTTTGTAAACCTGATTTTGAAAGGTGTTATATAAATATAGTTATTTTTATTATTCACTTTTTAATGATGAAGTGTCTCATTAATGTTCATTAAGACACAGAAAAGAGTTTCACTCATTGCTTTGAACAGACTGAAATAAAAAGGAGCTTTTAAAATGTTTTTCCATTCAGCTTCAAATCAGTTAAACATACTTTGTGTCGAGTATTAAACATAAGATCAGCTTCATGGAGGCTAAAATACAATTAAACATTTCCAGGAATAAGTAGATTATTTCCAGGATATTGGGGGACTCTGATAAAGACTAATGTAATATTGGGACATCAGCTGATAAACATCCTTCAGGTGATATTGATCACTGTGTGTTTATTAACTGTATATTTAGTGGTTTCATCTGTTGAATCAGTGTTACAGGAGCGACCTGCAGCACAGAGCAGTTCACACATATTCACATTATGTATTTTATTAGTATTTTCTGTGTTTCTGTGTGAACTTTAATGGCTGTGAATGATCTGTTCAGGCGGTTTGTTGGCGCATGCTCAGTGTGTAGCCCAAGCACTCAGCCAATCCCGTGCGAGCAACCGCGCAGTAAGATTTGCATCATGAACGTACAAAGAGAGCGGTCCGCCGGTACCGACTTCATCTGATCCAGGAAATCCAATCCGAAATCAACATGCCTGAACCACCCAAAGCACCGAAGAAGGGCTCCAAGAAAGCCGTCTCTAAGGCCACCAAGAGCGGCAAGAAGAGGAGAAGGACCAGGAAGGAGAGCTACGCCATCTACGTGTACAAAGTCCTGAAGCAGGTCCACCCCGACACCGGGATCTCCTCCAAGGCCATGGGCATCATGAACTCCTTCGTCAGCGACATCTTCGAGCGTATCGCCGG